AAAATTAACAAGGATATCCAGGACTTGAACTCAGACCTGGACCAAGCAAACCTAATAGACATTTATAGAACTCTCCACCCCAAATCCACAGAATATATATTCTTCTCAGCACCACATCACACCTACTCTAAAATTGACCACATAATTGGAAGTAAATCACTCCTCAGCAAATGCAAAAGAATGGAAATCATAACAAACAGTCTCTCAGACCACAGTGCAATGAAATTAGAACTCAGAATTCAGAAACTAACTCAGAACCACACAGCTTCATGGAAACTGAACAACTGGCTCTTGAACGTCAACTGGACAAACAATGAAATGAAGGCAGAAATAAAGATGTTCTTCGAAACCAATGAGAACGAAGACACGACATACCAGAATCTCTGGGACACATTGAAAGCAGTCTCTAGTAGAAAATAAATGCCCACATGAGAATCAAGGAGAGATCTAAAATCGACACCCTATCATCAAAATTGAAAGAACTAGAGGAGCAAGATCAAAAACACTTAAAATGTAGCAGAAGCCAAGAAATAACTAAGAGCAGAACTGAAGGAGCTAGAAACACAAAAAACCCTTCCAAAAAATCAATAAATCCAGGAGCTGGATTTTCGAAAAGATCAACAAAATAGATAGACCGCTAGCCAGATTAATAAAAAAGGAAAGAAAATAATCAAATAGATGCAATAAAAAACAATAAAGGGGATATTATCCCAGACTCCACAGAAATTCAAACCATCATCAGAGACTATTACAAACAACTCTATGCACATAAACTAGTAAACCTGGAAGCAATGGATAAATTCCTGGACACTTGCATCCTCCCCAGCCTAAATCAGGAGGAAGTCAAAACCCTGAATAGACCAATAATGAGGTCTGAAGTTGAGGCAGCAATTATGAGCCTACCACCCAAAAAAAGCCCAGGTCCGGATGGGTTCAGAGCCAAATTCTACCAGTCATAAAAAGAGGAGCTGGTACCATTCCTTCTGAAACTATTCTAAAGAATCCAGAAAGAGGGAATCCTTCCCAAATCATTTTATGAGACCAACATCATCCTGATACCAAAACCCGGCAGGGACTTAGCAAGAAAAGAAAACTTTAGGCCAATATCCACGATGAACATCGATGCAAAAATCTTCAATAAAATACTGGCAAGCCGATTGCAACAGCACATCAAAATGCTTATCCACCATGATCAAGTAGGATTCATCCCAGGGGTGCAAGGCTGGTTCAACATACTCAAGTCTATCAACATAATTCACCACATAAACAGAACTAAAAACAAAAACCACATGATTATCTCAATTGATGCAGAGAAGGCCTTTGACAAAATTCAACAGCCCTTTATGCTAAAAACCTCAATAAACTAGGTACTGATGGAACATATCTCAAAATAATAAAAGCTATTTATGACGAACCAACAGCCAATATCATACTGAATGGGCAAAAACTGGAAACATTCCTTTTGAAATCTGGCACTAGACAAGGATGCCCTCTCACCACTCCTATTCAACATAGTACTGGAAGTTCTAGCCAGAGCAATCAGGCAAGAAAAAGAAATAAATGGTATTCAAATAGGAAAGGAGGAAGTCAAATTGTCTCTATTTGCAGACGACATGATTGTATATCTAGAAGACCCCACCATCACAGCCCAAAATCTCCTGGAACTGATAATCAACTTCAGCAAAGTCTCAGGATACAAAATCAATGTGCAAAAATCACAAGCATTCCTATACACCAATAACAGATTTAAAGAGAGTCAAATCAAGAACGAACTGCCATTCATGATTGCTACAAAGAGACTAAAATACCTAGGAATATAACTAACAAAGAACGTAAAGGACTTCTTCAAGGAGAACTACAAACCACTGCTCAACGAAATAAGAGAGGACACAAACAGATGGAGAAACATTCCATGTTCATGGTTAGGAAGAATCAATATCGTAAAAATGGCCATACTGCCCAAAGTAATTTACAGATTCAATGCTATGCCCATCAAGCTACCAATGACCTTCTTCACAGAACTGGAAAAAACCACCTTAAACTTCATATGGAAGCAAAAGAGAGCCTGCATAGCCAAGTCAATTCTAAGCAAAAAGAACAAAGCAGGAGGCATCACACTACTGGACTTCAAACTATACTACAAGGCTACAGTAATCCAAACTGCATGGTACTGGTACCAAAACAGAGATATAGACCAATGGAACAGAACAGAGGCCTCGGAGGCAACACAACACATCTACAACCATCCAGTCTTTGATGAACCTGACAAAAACAAGCAATGGGGAAAGGATTTCCTGTTAAGTAAATGGTGTTGGGAAAACTGGCTAGCCATGTGCAGAAAGCAGAAACTGGACCCCTTCCTGACACCTTACACTTAAAATTAACTCTGGATGGATTAAAGACTTAAACATAAGACCTGGCACCATAAAAACCCTAGAAGGAAATCTAGGCAAAACCATTCAGGACATAGGCGTAGGCAAGGACTTCATGACCAAAACACCAAAAGCACTGGCAGCAAAAGCCAAAATAGACAAATGGGACCTAATCAAACTCGACAGCTTCTGCACGGCAAAAGAAACAGTCATTTGAGTGGATCGGCAACCAACAGAATGGGAAAAAAATTTTTGCAGTCTACCCATCTGACAAAGGGCTGATATCCAGAATCTACAAAGAACTAAAACAGATTTACAAGAAAAAAACAAACAAGCCCATTCAAAAGTGGGCAAAGGCTATGAACACACACTTTACAAAAGAAGACATACATGAGGTCAACAAACATATGAAAAAATGCTCATTATCCCTGGTTATTAGAGAAATGCAAATCAAAACTACATTGAGATACCATCTCACGCCAGTTAGAATGGCAATCATTAAAAAAATCTGGAGACATGCCGGGCGCGGTGGCTCAAGCCTGTAATCCCAGCACTTTGGGAGGCCGAGGCGGGTGGATCACGAGGTCAAGAGATCGAGACCATCCTGGTCAACATGGTGAAACCCCGTCTCTACTAAAAATACAAAAAATTAGCTGGGCATGGTGGCGCACACCTGTAATCCCAGCTACTCAGGAGGCTGAGGCAGGAGCATTGCCTGAACCAGGAGGTTGCGGTGAGCCGAGATCATGCCATTGCACTCCAGCCTGGGTAACAAGAGGGAAACTCTGTCTCAAAAAAAAAAAAAAAAAAAAAAAAAAAATCCGGAGACAACAGATGCTGGAGAGGATGTGGAGAAATAGGAACACTTTTACATTGTTAGTGGGAGTGTAAATTAGTTCAACCATTGTGGAAGATAGTGTGACGATTCCCCAAGGACCTAGAAATAGAAATTCCAGCCGGGTGCAGTGGCTCACGCCTGTAATCCCAGCACTTTGGGAGGCCGAGGTGGGTGGATCACGAGATCAAGAGATCGAGACCATCCTGGTCAACATGGTGAAACCCCGTCTCTACTAAAAATACAAAAAGTTAGCTGGGCATGGTGGCGCGTGCCTGTAGTCCCAGCTACTCAGGAGGCTGAGGCAGAAGAACTGCCTGAACCCAGGAGGCGGAGGTTGCGGTGAGCCGAGATCGCGCCATTGCACTCCAGCCTGGGTAACAAGAGTGAAACTCCGTCTCAAAAAAAAAAAAAAAGAAAGAAATTCCATTTGACCCAGCAATCCCATTACTGGGTATATATCCAAAGGATTATAAATCATTGTACTATATGGACACATGCACAGGAATGTTCACTGCTGCACAGTTTACAACAGCAAAGACCGGGAACCAACCCAAATGCCCATCGATGACAGACTGGACAGGGAAAATGTGGCACATATACACCATGGAATATTATGCAGCCATCAAATATGATGAGTTCATGTCCTTTGTAGGAACATGGATGAACCTGGAAACCATCATTCTCAGCAAACTGACACAAGAACAGAAAATCACACACCGCATGTTCTCACTCATAGGCGGGTGTTGAACAATGAGAACACATGGACACAGGGAGGGGAGCACTACACACTGGGGTCTGTCTGAGGGAAACAGGGGAGGGACAGCGGGGGGTGGGGAGAGAGCATGGGGAGAAATGCCAGATATAGGTGAAGGGTAGGAAGGCAGCAAATCACACTGCCATGTGTGTACCTATGCAACAATCTTGCATGTTCTTTACATGCAAAAACCTAAAATGCAATTAAAAAAAAACAAACGAAAAACTGTGGTCAATGAACCTAAGAAACAACAACGAAACAACTAAAAATTTTTTAAAAATAAAAATAAATAAAAAGAAAATTAAGACTGAAAGGGGCTATAGGCCGAGCCCGGTGGTTCATGCCTGTAATCTCAGCACTTTGGGAAGCCGAGGTGGGTGGACCGTTTGAGGTCAGGAGTTCGACCGCATCATGACCAATAAAGGGAAACCCCATCTGTAATAAAATTACAAAATTAGCCGGGCATGGTGGCGCACACACCTGTAATTCCAACTACCCAGGAGGCTGAGGCAGGAAAATCGCTGGAACCCAGGAGGCAGAGGTTGCAGTGAGCCGAGAGGGCTCCACTTCACTCCAGCCTGGGTCACAGAGCAAGACTCTGTCTCACCAAAAGAAAAAAAAAAGGAAAAAAGGAAAGGGGCTATCATTTGCCTAAGGTCTAAATGTGGTAAAGGAGTCCAATCTAAGTCCGTGCATTTAAACAAGCTGGTACGACTTGGTCTCCCCTCTCCCTGATAGCAAAAGTGTTCCCCAGTGCCTCATTTTATTATCTACCTATAAGCGGCCGGAGTCACGGAAAGTTTCCATTCAGAAATTACCCAGTGAGGGAAGTCTGCGGTGACTGGCTCAGAGCAGGAAGACTTTTTAAAAAACCACCCTGACCATCATTACTGAAAGGAGACTCAAGGGTCAGTGTGGCCCTCCGTGCAGACGTCGGGGGACCGCGGCTGTGGGTCGGTGCGACCACAGCGCGGCCTGCGGTCCTCCGAGGCCCCGCCCCTCGCCCGGGCTGCCTCGCCCAGCTCGCGCCGCTCACCGTGCGCCTCCTTGCCCGTGGGCCCGAGCCGGCGGTGGGGCCTGGCGGCGCGCCGCAGCCGGCCGGCGGGGATCTTGCAGCGCAGCTCGTCGCGCGGCTCCGCATCCTGCTGCCACAGGACGTGCAGGTAGCGCAGCGGCGACTGGGCCCCGCCGGACGCCCGGCCCGAGAGGCCCGAGCCGCCGCCCAGAGCAGACCCGAAGTCGGCGAAGGAGAAGAGGCCCTCAGCTCCCGTTAGCGGTTCCGGCGCCACCGCGCACTCGCCCTCCGAGCTCGAGTGGCCCGAGCGCGGCTCGTCATCCGCGTCCCCGGCGGCGGCTGCCATGGCAACGGCTCAGCACGGGTCTGGCCGCTGGAGCCTCGTTCCCGACCGACCAACGGACCTACTTCCCTCCGCCCTGAGTCGCGCTGTCAGCCAGCAGGCGGGCAGGCGGGCGGGCGGGCCTAGCGGGCCCGGCCTGCAACCTCGACATCCGAGCGGGGCGGGCTCAGGCCTAGCCTGAACGGCCGAACCAATGACGATCCTTCCAACTTAAACCCCTCCCAAAACCAATCGGAAAGGGAGGGCATAGTACCAGCAAGATATAGCGACAGGGCTTCCGGCAACGTGGCTGGCAGACGTGGTAACCAATCAAAAACTTGAAGTGCCCAGCTAGCTCGCCGTACGTCGCTACCTGAGCCAATAAAACAGCAGCGTTTCAAGCTTTTTTTTTTTTTTTTTTTTTGAGTCAGAGTCTCGCTGTGTCAACAGGCTGGAGTGCAGTGACGCGATCTCGCCTCACTGCAACCTCCTGCCTCAGCCTCCCGAGTAGCTGGGACTACAGAAGCGCGCCACCACGCCCAGCTAATTTTTGCATTTTCAGTAGAGACGTGGGTTTTACCATGTTGGCCGGGATGGTCTCGATCTGTTGACCTCGTGATCCGCCCCCCTCGGCTTCCCAAAATGCTGAGATTACAGGCATGAGCCACCGCGCCAGGCCTCATTTTTTTTTTTCCTCTCTCCATTTACCGGTATAATGAAAGAACGGAAAAAAAAAAAGGAAAGAAAGAAAGAGTGGATGCTTTAGCCAATCAGATTAAGATGATTTGCAGGCACTCACAAAGGAAAATGAAGTAGCCACGCTATCCATGCAGATAGATACAGATGTAAATAATTAATGCAAAAAATAATCAACTTCCTACAAATGCATAATGTACCTGGGAAAAGGAAAATGTGTTCAAATTTGGAGATATCACTACAGTGAGAAATAGCTTCAAAAAGCAATGATTTCCTTTAGTCAAACTTCTTTAGGTAACCCCAAGGTAGATCACTGATTTACAAAGACTTATAATCCAAAGTGATTACATTAGAGCAAGAGTTTAGTTTGACAAGCAGTCACTGAGCCAGGCGACTGCCAGGTCCTGAACACAGGATCAGACTTGGTGCCCCTGAGATGCTCACAGTCCAATGGGAGAAGACCAGGAAACAAGTTAAGTGTTTCTCAAGCAACATTTCATGAGTGCAGCTTTTTGTCAAACTTCTCACAATCCTGCATCCCACAAACACTTCTATAAAGTAGGCAAGAAGGATCATCCCTATTTTATAGATGAGGAGTTGGAAGCAGAGACAAGAGACTCGTTGACGGTTGCCCAGCTCTCATGGGACTAGGTCTTGTGTCCAGGCAAAAGTTCCTTCCATGTATAAACCCTCCCATTCAATCCAGTTAAAATGTAATCTTTTGTCCAGGCAAAGATTAATTCTAAATTTGTATCACCTCTGGTGACAGCACAAGGAAAAAGCACAAAGCAAAAACGCAGCATAGGGAGTTGGGACGGAGCATTGCAATTCTAAATAGGATGTTTAATGATGGCATCAGAGTAGACACCTGAAGGTGCCATGCAGATGTCCGATAAGGAAGGGAATTGGACTGGGGGCGCCACTGCATTCAATTCTACACTTGATGTGGTGGCTCACTCCTGTAAGCCCAGCACATTGGGAGGCCAAGGCGGGCAGATCACGAGGTCAGGAGTTCGAGACCAGCTTGACCAACATGGTGAAACCCCATCTCTACTAAAAATACAAAAATTAGCTGGGTGTGGTGGCATGTGCCTGTAATCCCAGCTACTCAGGAAGCTAAGGCAGGAGTATCGCTTGAACCCGGGAGGCGGAGGTTGCAGTGCGTCAGTGGAAAAAGCGAGGAGGGCTTTGTGACAAAGGGACCCAGAGAGCACGAGACATGTTCGACCTGGTCACACAGCAAATCAGTGGCGGAGTAGGGGCTGAAACTCGGATTTCCACTAGATGTTGTGTATGGGCAGATGGCTAAACTAAAGCCATTGACTCATACACTGGCTTTAATTGGTGTGTTTTATAAAGCCTATCTCTACCGTGAGATTTTCCCCGGGACTCGAACCTGGTGTACTTAAGAGCTGCCCGTGTCCCAGGCTTCGCGACACAGCTGGCTTCATCTTTGCCCGCTACAACTTTAAGTTCGGGAAGGGGAGCTCCTCTTCTCCATGCCCTCTTACTACATGGGACCAAATCTCAACATTTTTTTGGGGAGGCGGGGTGGGGGGGGGGCGGGCATGGAGTCTTGCTCTGTCGCCCAGGCTGCAGTGCAGTGGCACGATCTCAGCGCATTGCAACCTCTGCCTCCTGGGGTTCCAGCGATTCTCCTGCTTCAGCCTCCTGGGTCGCTGGAATTACAGACGCACCCACCACTCCTGGCTAATTTTTGTATTTTTAGTAGAGACAGGGTTTACGCCATATTGGCCAGACTGGTCTCGAACTCCTGACCTCATGTGATCCGCCTGCCTTGGCCTCCCAAAGTGCAGGGATTACAGGTGTGAGCCACCGCGCCGGGCCAAATCTCAGCTTTCATTCCCAGTTCGTTTAGTCTTGTGAAGTCGTAATGTTCGAAGTATTTACTTGCTGCAGGCAAACCGCTTAAACAACTAAATCCATCAGGCCCCCGTATCCGAATCTCCATTCACCCGAGAAGTCGGCCCCGGGAAGCTGTCAGCCATCTTTTGTGTGGCATTCTTTCTGGGTCCTCTGACTTTGCCCGGCCTTTACGCCAAACTACTTTGGGTCCTTCTATCTGTATGTACACCAGTATTATAGATTCACCTTCTTTGAGAAGTCTCTATTTGAAGAAGAGGAAAATTCAGTAATCCTCGTACTTTTTTTTTTTTTTAAGACGAGTTTTCGCTTTTCTTGGCCAGGCTGGAGTGAAATGGCGCGATCTCGGCCTACTGCAGCCTCCGCCTCCCGGGTTCAAGCGATTCTCCTGCCTCAGCCTCCCGAGTACCTGGGATTACAAGCATGCGCCGCCTAATTTTGTAATTTTAGTAGAGATAGGGTTTCGCCACGTTGGTCAGGCTGGTCTCGAACTCCCGACTACAGGTGATCCGCCCGCCTCCGCCTTCCAGAGTGCTGGGATTACAGGCGTGAGCCACCGCACCCGGGTCCCCTTCACTCTCGATAAGGCTATCTCAGATTGCCAGCGGGCTCGGAAAGGCTTCCGGTTTCCCGGCAGGCCCGAGTGGGGCTGAACTTCCGGCCTCAGGACGCAGGCGTGGCTTGCTCATTTCTCTCTTTCCGGCAGTGCTCGTGAGCCCGGCAGCCATGTCCTATGCCGCTGATGATTACGAATCCGAGGTAAGGTGGCTGTAAGCGCGCGGTGGGGTCCACGACGGGGAGATCTGTAGGATCTCTTGATGTGGGTCCCGGTGCGAGGCAGCTTCTGAGCCGCGGCCAGCTCCGGCCCACCTCCCGCGCGAGCCTCCGGCTGCTCACACAGCTCCCGGCCCCTAGACAACCCTGACTCTGCCCGCCCACTTCACGTGTGCTCTGGTCCTTCCCCTTTCTAAGAGCAGGAGAGACGGAAGCTCGTTAGATGTTTCTGTGTTTCTGCACCTGAGTTTTTTTGGTGTGGGCTCGGTCTGGTCAAATCTCGCTGATTTCCACAGCCTCTTGTCCTTTGCTCCACCTCATTACACCCGTAATGTTGTACTTTGTCATTGTCCGTTTATTGTCGCTTTCCTCTTAGGCGTGTGAGTTTCTCAGAGGCAGGCACACTTTCTTACCGCCTTTGTCTCCTTAGCTCTCTGCTTGGCATCTAGACTGTACGATGAGCGTTTTGAATTCACGAGTTGGCGACTGTTTCTGACTGTGTCTCTTTCCTTCTAGGCGGCTTATGACCCCTATGCTTATCCGGGCGACTATGATATGCACACAGGTGAGACTGCGGGTTAGGCTGGTCCTACTCGTAGGGATCAGCTCCTTTTTGAATGTCTTAGAACCAGCTTTGACAGGTATCTGTAAAAATTGCTCTTTGATGGTCCAGGTGTGGAGTCAGTCATTAGCTCCCAGTGGGGAGGGTTGTATAAAGCCTAATAAACCAGGCTTTTTATCATAGGTCCACCTCAGTCTCGGAAAAGGAGGATTACTGGCCTTGGTTTTCTTTCGTAAACTGTTAGACAACGAAGAAAAGCTTTTTTATTTTATTTGAGATGGAATCGCTCTGTAGACTGGGCTAGAGTACAGTGGTGCAATTTCGGCTTGCTGCAACCTCCTCCTCCGGGTTCAGGCAATTCTCTTAGCCTTCTAAGTAGCTGGCGCTGCAGGCACACGTCATCAAGCCCGGCTAATTTTTTCAGTTTTTTTCTTTTTATTTTTAGTAGAGACAGGGTTAGGGCATGTTGTCCAGGCTAGTCTCAAACTCCTGACCTCAGGTGATCCTCCCGCCCCAGCCTCCCAGAGTGCTGGGATTACAAGTGTGAGCCACCAAGCCTGGCTGAAAGAAGAAAATCTTAATGTGAAAAATTTAAGTAATTCAAACCAAGCCGGAACAAAATCTATTTGGGAGATATCTGAGGTTTCCTGAAATGTTATAGTGACGTGACTTAGTACTCGGTGTCATCCATTGTTCTAAGTACTTTGTGGTAAGTATTCTGTTTAATCCTTACAACCTTCTACAAAGTATGTATGTTAATGTTGTCTCCTAAAGAAGAGAAAATAGCCGGGCACGGTGGCTCACGGCTGTAATCCCAGCACTTTGGGAGGCTGAGGCGGGTGGATCACGAGGTCAAGAGATCAAGACCATCCTGGTCAACATGCTGAAACCCTGTCTCTACTGAAAATACAAAAATTAGCTGGGCATGGTGGCTTGTGCCTGTAATCCCAGCTACTCAGGAGGCTGAGGCAGGAGAATTGCCTGAACCCAGGAGGCGGAGGTTGCGGTGAGCCGAGATCGCGCCATTGCACTCTAGCCTGGGTAACAAGAGCGAAACTCCGTCTCAAAAAAAAAAAAAAAAAGAGAAAATATAGCAGAAAGGTTTAGTAGTAACTTGCCACAAGTCGTATATTTAGAAGGTGACAGTTACTCTTTCAATAAATACTGAGTACCTGTTATCACTTACCCTTCCCATAGTCTTGCCTCTTTTCCCTCCAATGCACACTCTTCTGGGCCTTGAGAGTACATCTGAGTACAAGACAGACAAGATTCCTGACTTGCTAGACTTGGGAGAAGGGGGCAAAACAGATAATAAGTGAAAAATAACTGTGGC